TTTCATAAGAGTGTATATTAATCATGCTTTAAAAAAAAAAAAACTTTGCTACGTGGTGGCTTCCATCACAATCTTCGTTACAGCAATGGCCTCCCAAGGTGGGTATACAGGGCACGACAATCCACTGGAGTACAGGTTGATGATATTGTAACGCAACTTCCTAAATTTTTTAATCTTGTCCTTTTATGTCCTGCTTTTGGTGTTATACATACAAAAGTTAAAGACACATATTAGAGTTCAGGCTACACAATCAAGTGTGGACTTAATGGAATGAAGCTGACAAAGGAGAGAGGAGAAATCAGACAAACAGAAACACCAGCAAAAGGAGAAGCATTTCTGTCCTCACAAGGTAGCTTGTGTCCCTTGGAGGAGGAGTGCAGTTTTAGGGAGGTAGGAGATGTGAACGTAAGGAGGTGAAACCAAGTATTTGTGGGGCGCGCAATTTGAGAAAAATTTTAAAGTAACCTGGAAGAGCATGCAAAAACATCACCCAGACCTCTGTGCCCCAGGAGTGCTCAAGAGAGTCTGACTTGAGCCCATCACTGCTTTGCCCCTCTTCTCCACTGGCCCCCCTAGCCCAGCACTCAAGGCGCTGACATCCTCCCTGATTTATCTGCCCTCCCTTCCCTCTTTTCCATCCACCACCACACCCTCCACCCCTAACCAGAAATCTCTTCCACCAGCATTTTTATACAGCCTTTTAGTATCAAAACCAATGCTTTTCAATTCTGGCTTCAGTAATACCACCTCCGTGCTTTCAAACTCACCAAAGCATAAAGTCAATCCCTCAGAGTCTGATTCAACTGTTCTGGGGAAAGGCCTGGACTTCGGTAATTTAAAAAATTTAGGTAATTATGCCAACTCTTCTAGGAAGCCAGGAGGGATTTCTCCCTCCTTTGAACCCCCGGGTACTCTGAAACCACCTACACTTGACCAATGTGGGTCAACCACAATGCATTTATCACCCTACATCTACTTATCATTGGAAGGAAGCTGTGTATACTCTATTGGATGGAGCAAAGCTGTATTTCAAACTCTCCAGGCTCTCATCATTGTCTCTGAGCTATTTTACAGATCAGAATTTGTAGATAACTGATGGTAATGCAAAGTAATTCTTACAGACTTGCTCATTCTGTCCTATCTGGTAAAGGTCCAATTGACTTGCCTCCCCCTCCAGTGGAAAAACCAGTTTGCCTCCGTTTGCTCACTCCTTTTAATACAAAGAGTTCTACTGATAATCTTTTGAGCTGGTTTAAACATCTGCCTGGTCCAGCCATTGATTAACGGCTAAAAAAAAATCTTTAGCACATGATCATTTTTCTATCTTGTGAGTCATGATTTCACTCCTTGAAAATTATTGTACATGCTTCTTTGCTGTACCCCCTTCCATAGGATGTATAGTTCATAAGCACTGTTGGGTGAAATGTACTGAGTTGCTTTAATGTCCTATTTAGTGATGCCCCCCACCCTTGAAAAAGATCATAGAATAAGGAACCATCCAGCCTAGTGGTTTTCAGACAGGTTTCATTCCTCGTTATACAGCAAGGAAAGGACATAACTTGGGGGGTTAAGTAACTTGTCCCATATGAAGAAAACTAGTGATTAAGGAGGCTCATTTTTCAAATAATATTGATCAAGTATCTCCTGCATGCCCACTGACAGGAGTTGGGGCTAGAATAAAAAGGAGACAGATGAGCCTCCTGCTCCTTGAAGCTATAGTGAATCTAGTGCAGTAAATTGCACATCTTTTTGATCCTATATACCACCAGTAGTAACAAAAACCTGAGCAATCGTCATGATAAACATATGCTTTTTAAGAATGAGATTAAAAGCACATAAAATAAGGTCTACAGTTTATCCCTGTGCCACAGAAAATCATCTTTTGCCCCTCCCTGGGTATGTGACCCCTGGCCCATGAGATTCTGATCCTTCCCCCCTCCCATGTCCTGATGCCTCCATCCCTAGCCTACAGGAAGACACCCAGGACCAGCCCCACTGCCCCCCAGAGCCTAGCCTTTAAGGAAGCCATGGTAAATGTCATTCCTGGCCTTGTCCTGGGTACCCCAACCCCCACTCCCCACTGAAGGCACTTGGGGTTTCTTGGACAGCAGTGTCTTTCCCTCTCCTGACCCAGAACCAGTGATCCCAGGACTGGACAAGGCCCCAGGAGCTCATTGGGCTGCCCCAGGTTTACAGCTGGACTGGCCTGCGTTTGAATCCCAGTTCAGATCACTATTGTGATAGACAGCAAAGTGTAGTGTCTCCCAGTGAAGGCTGGAGCCACAGTGCCTGAGACTGGAGTCTGACCTGCTATTTAGGAGCTATGTGTTCTTGGGCAAGTACTTAACCTCATATGCAAAATAGGGTATAAAAAGAGTGCCTACCTCAGAGGAGTTGTGTTAAAGATGAAAAAAATTAAGACATGTCTAGTTGCTTAGAAGAGGCCTGGGCATACAGAACACACTATATGTTTGTATTATTTCTTTCCTAAACTTTTGAGGGCTGAGTTTCAACATCTGCAAAATGGGCAAGGTAACAGCATCTAAGGCTATCAAGGGTTCAGCCAGGGCCTGGCAAGTTGGAAGGGTTCGAATGACTACTTTATCATTATTTAAGGAGTACAGGGCGCCTTTACAGATGAGGAACTGGAGGCTCAGGTCACCTGCCTTCTCGAGCACCACAGCCTTCAGAGATCACCATAGCAGCACTTGGTTCTCTGCACACGGCACTCCAGAGTTCGCAGGACTCTTTCGCATCTGCCATTTTATAATTGCATGCAGATGGGTATCAACTTTATTTTACAGATGGAATCTGAGGCTCAAAGAACCCAAGGATAGTCATTTGTCCTTAGCAAGCCTCTGCAGGGACTCCTCAATCCCAGGAGGAAAGGAAACAGAAGTGTGGCTGGATTCCAAGCCAAGAAGTTTGTATGCACAAAGGCACCCCCCATTCCCGCAGACTTCCTCTCTTTTGGGGAGGGTGGGTATACATGCTCAGAAATCAGGGTAGAGACCACATCCTGCACTTTGTCCCCACCCAGGAAGTATCTTGGAGAGGAGGGGTGGGGGTGAGGCTGGCTGATACCACTGGGCTCTCCCCAGAAAATCCTAGCAGGGTATAAGAGGCTCCATGCAGCCTCAGCCCATCTTACCAGCTGGGTGCCCTGGGCACCTCACTGATCACTCTAGAGAGGACCTAAGGCCCAGAGGAATAGGAAGTGCACCTAGGGCCCCAGCTGGTTAGTGCAGGGCAGAGGCTGGGACTGGGGCTGGAGCCTGGCCAAGGGCTCCTCTGGGTGCTGCAGTGCAGATGCTCCAGATGCGGGCAGCTATGCAGCACCGCAGAGCTCTGCACCCCGTCCCAGGAGTCAGCCCCAAGAGGCCAGGTCCCGCACTTCTCAGGGGCGGCCCTCTCCTCTGCACACTCGTATCCACATGCTGCCCCAGCAACAGCTATGGCCTTTACCAGAAACCACAAATATTTCCTGAATCCTAGCAGCCGGCGCCTTGGGAACGAAGGGTGGAAGGCGAAGATGGGTGAGTGACAGTCCCAGCTGCAGAGGGGGCTCCAGGCCTCTGCCTCCCTCTCCAGCCCCGCCCAACTCCCAGAAGCCTAAGTCTTAGAAGAGTTGAATCCTAGAAACCAGCACTGGAAGTGGCAGCCAGTTCAGCAGGCTTTGCTCCAGATGGGTAACTGAGGCCCGGAGAGGGAAGGGCTTGCCCAAGGACCCCCAGCATCTGGAACTGTTAACCATGCTTTCCCCTGCCTCCCAGGGCAGGGCCTGCCAGACAGAAGGGCAGGGTTCCCAGGAGCTGCAGCTGGGCCGTCACTCACCTGGAAGGGGTAAGCAAGTCAAGCTTTCCCTCCGGGTCAGCAGAGCCAGCAGTTTAAGGTGTGCTTTGGGCAGGGGAGGAGGGGGAAGGGAGGACGGGAGAAAACTGGAGGCCTTTTACACTCTCACAAACCAAATTTGGAATTGCCAAGGAAGACACGCGAGGATTTAAAGAAAAGGAGGAGGAGGAAGCAAAGGCTGGATTGTCCTCCCGAAGGACCCCCTGCCCCTTGCAGGCCTGAGGGTAAGCCAGGGCTCCCAAGCCTGCAGTCAAGACTTCCCAAACCTCTGTCATTCCTTGCAGATGACAAAGGCCTGGGTTCATCAGCTCTGGACCTGAAAAGGAACCTGAGGCTCAGAGAATGAAAACTACTGATTCAAGGTCACAGTGCAAGTTGTGGTGGGACTGGGCCTCAGATTCGGAGTATGTCATTCCCGTGCTGGTACTGCGGGAGTTACCTGAGGTCCCCAAGCTGGGGAAGGGCCTAAACTGGGCTTTGGAAGAACAGGAAGAAGGCCCTTGTAGGCCAGCTGAGCGTCTCCTTTGTGGGCAAGCGGCGGTCAGAAGGAGCAGAAGGGTACAAAGGCCCCAGGGGGTGGACGGCCGGCCCCTTCATCAGTCTGCAGACAGCCCTGCGCAACCACACACACAAGCCGTTTCAAGAGCAGCTGGGGGGTTTCGGTCTGTGGCCTCGGCCACACCCTTCCCTGCGGGTTCCTAGACCCCCGTCCAGCTGTCCCCAATTTCGGGCCCTCAAAGTCTCTTCCGAACCCACTCCCCTCTCAAAGCAGGGCCAGCAGCCCGCGCCTCAGCCCCGGGCTCCCCAGCGCCCGCCCTATCACACCCTCTGCCGAGCCAGCCCTCTCCCACCCCCACCGCCGCCTCCCCTCCCCTCCCCTCCCCCAGCCCAAACGCGTCCGCCCCCGCTTCTCCACTCAGGCGGCGGGTTTGCCCCACTGCGCTCCCCCACGACACACCCAGCCCGGGACCCTTTGGGGTTGCCGCGGGCCCCACCTGCCCGAGCCCCACCCCGATCCTGGCAGCCCGCTGCCCCGGAGCCTGGCGGGAGGCGTCAGTCCGCGATGACTGGGCGTTTATTGCTCGTCCCCGCGTCCCTGCAGCCCCCGAGAGGGGGTGGTCCCCTGGAGCAAACCTCACCCCACTCACCACGCGGTGATGGCCTTCTGTCGCGAACGGGCAGACGGAGAGCGGTGCGGCGACACGGAGCTTGCAGGGTGCCCGTTAGCCAGGGAGCAGCAGCCGCAGTGCGGGGCGGGTCTGGAGGACAGCCGATCGCTCCGGGCCGGACACGTGGCGGCGCAGCGACCAATCGGGCTCGTCCCCCTGCCTCCCCAGTTCTTTCGCTCCTAGAATCTTAGAATGTCACTAGCCCTATTGAGCCCCAGCATGAGAACCTCTATCAGTGCGCAGACCCCGAGCCTGAGACCTAGAGAGGGTTGGGGGATTAAGCCAAGGTCATGCAGGCACTCAGGGCTGGAAGTCAGCGCTCCCGACTCCCGGTTCTGGACACTTACCCACAAATTCCTGCTACTCACCAAAGCTCTGTTGAAGAACAACATTGAGGCTTGAAACAAAATTGGGGCCAAGCACTTTATCTATCTGATCAGATTCCGTTTCTCAATGACCCTAGCAGGTCCGTGCCAGTATTTACTCACTTTCCTGAGCAGGAGAACCCAGAGAAGTCCAGTTCCTTGACCAAGGTCACAGAGCTACTAGCTGCTGAGCTGGGATTCGAACCTGAGTCAAGTGACTCCAGAGGGACAGTTATTGCTGGTTATCTCTGGGGAGTGCATAGTCCAGAAAAAAAGCAAAGAGACCAATAGTTATAATCCAGGGCTGTGGGGGAAAACAGCCTGAACATAAAAAACGACAAACTATTTGGGAATCCAGAGAAAACTGAGAATGATTATTCCCCAGTGGATTTGTAAGGACATCCTGGAGGAGAGGGTAAAGCAGTAAAATTCAGTGGTACCTCCCATTCCCCCTCCATAACCCCCCACCTTAGAACTTCTACTTTGGTGAAAGGACGGAAAGATGGTGACCCTTGGCTACCACTCAGCTGCTGTGTTTCCATGAGCAAGACATTTAATTGCCCCGGTTATCCATTTCGTTCATCCGGAAGATAGGAATAATCAAAGCTTTTCCCAGGACAGTCCTCCACCTGTCACTAGCTAGGAGACTTCTAAGCTTCCTACAAGGAAGGACACCTGGCTGTAAAGGATGTCCTTGGATCTATTCATTTCCCCAACATTTACTGAGCACCTGCTGCATGTCAGGCACTGAGCTGGAAGACCAAAGTGAGCAGATGGCAAGTGGACCCTGACCTGTTCTCGTGGAGCTTCCACTCTCATGGGAAACAGATTGTTAGGTTATTGTTACGGTAAAGTTTAGAGAGTTGTAATCTGGAAACTAGAAAGTTCATAATGGCCCACAGAGGATGGAAGCAGCCTAACCTAGGCCTCCGAATAAGAATGATATTTAGTTCTGTTAAAAAAAACACAATTCAACCAAGTAAATGTGAAGACTACTTGGCCTTATTAAGCCATTCATGAATCAGGCAGCACCTCCTTTAGCAAGCAGAGATGTGCTAAAGGGCTACAGAAAGGGAGAGGTTTTAAAAGTAGGACAAGAAACTCATAAACAAACAAAAAAGGATTATTTTGGTTGAGGTCACCTTCAACCAAAGAGTTTGGTTGGGGACAAAAGAGTCTTATTAGGTGGATTACTTTATCATCCTTTGGTGGATGAAGAGGGCACAGGTGACATTATCTTATCTATGCTGAGTAGAAACCACCTGATAACTCCATTTCTGGGGAAGCTGAAACTGCGGTCAGCTTAGGTATTAAGCCCTGGGTTTAGTGACTTGGCCTAGCAGAAGTGACCCCATGTTAAGCCTGTTTCTTTCTTGAAACAGTTCCCCATTTGATCAGACTCTCTGATGTGATCAAAATGTAAGGCATTTGTACCCCTCTCAGCTACTGCTTGTAGTTCCTACAGCTTTTGTGGATCTTTTGTGTGGTATTCACAGGTAATGGCATTTTTGCTTAGTCTCTGTGATAGTCACAACTTGCAACCTCAGGTTCACAATTTTTTGGTTGGTCATCCTCTTTACTTCTCTGATGTTCCAGTCTCAGGGAGATCATCTGTGTGGTAGTTAGCAGCTATGAAAATGCATTTGGGGCTTTTAAGAGACTGCAACATGCCAAGGATTTTATTATAATTATAAACAGGACATGCCTTCCCAACGTCTGGAGGGCACTTTGGAGCCATGGGCCCCAAAACCCAAACCAGTCAAAATCAAATAAATCAAAGAAAGATCCATCTGAAGGAGTCACCCTTTTAAGCCAAGTGGCTTGTTCTGTGGTCTTATGTAACTGAATTTCAACTTCTCCAGAAATGTTAATCTAGGTGCAGCAGGTGGTGTTGGCCACGGCATAAACAGCTCCTTGCTCGGTTTAAAGATAATCAAAGGCTATCCTATTATTTAGAATAATTTTGGCCAGAGACTCTAAGAATCTTTGTTGGGCAGCTATTTGCTTGAGCAGCAAATTCTGCTCAACAGAATCAAGAGTTAAGAAGTTCCCAATTGTATTCTCATTTACATTTATCTCTGCCCAGGGAAGCAGGGACCTGCCAGAAGGAATCAAGAAAACTTCCTGGTAGGCCCTTTCTAATGCAATGAGGTAAATTTAGGGGAATCTACCAATGAGATGTCTTATTTTACTTGTGAAAAGCTAGGGGCACTGTTAGGTTTTTCTCCTAGTCTGAAATAAAAGGTTGTTCTAAATTCCAGAGGTTAACCCTGTCACACCCCACTTTAGCATGGCCTGGGAGATACAGATGAGGGCATTATCTTTCCTAGCCAATGCCAGAGTAAAGGAAAAGATAATAAAAAGAAAGGGCTTTGTGTCTAGTTAAAGTATGAAGTCATCTTGAGTGGAAGCAGTCTACACCATTCTCTTCCTCATTAATCTGATTTGGAGGTCCCCTGTGTCTGTACGAGACCAGATGTCAGGTGGAGCCATCTACAGTTCTGAGACCTGTATGCAAGGCTAAATGCCTTCTAGTTTCTGCAGCAGTGTCAGTGGCCAGGTGCACTCGGTAAGGTCCCTTTAACAGGGCTTGAGGGGTGTCTTCATCGGATGGTGTTTCCAGAGTACCTCATCACCAGGCTCTGGACTGTGACCAGTGGGATCCTCTGAGTTGGGATTTGGGAAGCCTTCTTTCACCCGTGGATGATAGGCTTGAGCACAGACATTAAAGACTTGAAGACTAGCCTGAGATGAGGGATCAGCAAAAGGTTGTACACCAATATGCATTGTTCTGCTGGTGACTCTCGCATATGGAGTGAGTTTATATTTTCAAAAGGGAGTACTGCGAACAGTCAGCAAGACCAAAGGCAGTATCTGTGGCCGGGAAAGTCCAGTAGTTTTGGCACATTTAGAAATTTTAAGTTTGAGGATCCCATTAGTTCTTTCAACCTTGCCTGGTGATTGAGGATGATAGGGACAGTGATAATTCCAAGAAGTTTGCAAGGCGTTCTTTAAGGCTTGTATAATTTGCCCAGTGAAGCAGGTGTTTCATTCAATGGAAACTATGGAAGATATACCCCAAGTGGGAAACATATTCTCTAATAGATTATTTGCCATCATGAGGGCATCAGCCTTTGGCCAAGAGAAGTCTTCACCCATCTGGAAAACATACATACAATAACAAGAACATACTGTAACTTATCCTAAGTGGCAGTTGATTGAAGTCCTGCAGCAGGTGTTCAAAAAGTTCAGAAGGAGAAGATCTGAGGCCTCTGGGGACCAAAATAGTTCCCCTTAAATGTACTAAGGTGGGTGAAGAAATGAAAAAAAAAAAGGAGTTTGCCAAGGAGCTGGGAAGAACCTAGTAGCAGACTTGGGCTTCCCATAGCCGCAACTGCTCATTTAATTTACAACTATTGTTTACTCATTGCAATTGCTCTGCTTTAGGCACAGACTGTTGCCATGTTACAAGGATTTCAAGATGGCAAAAGTCTAGCAATAAGGGGCCATTTTTTTTGCAGAAGCAAAATGGACTTCATTCACATGTGCCATTATCTTTCAAATCAAGATCAAATGAGAATTTACTGCAATGGAATTGACAAGAAAATTTAGATATTTTTGTGACACACAAGGTTTTAAGATAATAACTAGAAAAGTATTAAAAGGATTTTAAACAGTTGGTTAAGTAGGATCACAGGTTATTGTAAAAGAATACTTAATTATCTATTTCACCAACAAGACTATTAAAGACTGCAGGCAAATACAGAAAGTTAAAAAGGCTTAGCTCTCTTAAGGTTGAAAACACTCAGTTTTAAGAAATCAAAGGCCAATGATAAAGATATCATGAACCATAGGAAATTATTTTGGTGAAAAACTGAATTTTGTTTTCTAGACAATTACTGTAAGACAAAGAAAAACCCTTTACAATCCCTTATTATGAAGAGTAGAACATTAGTCCAAAACAGATTTATCTTTTTAACAGAGAGAAAAAATTTTAGTTTTGCACTAGTTTACTTTTGATACCAAAATTTATTTTTAGATAATTAAAAAAATCTTAACCAGCTTGATCATACAGTAAAATTTCTTTGCAAAGATTCCTCTTCCACAAATCTTCTACAACTCTCATTTTCTAACGTTCAGATTTTGTCCTAAGTTCCCCTTCTTTAAATAAGCAGCCTTTCACTTTTAGGACAAAATTACTTTCTTTTTTTCTCAACAAAAACGCATTTCTATTCTTCATACCTCCTTTTACTGAAAGCATACATCCTACTTTCCTTGCATGCAGAGATGTTTCCTTTATTATTTCTAGTAGTTATAATTATACTTATTAGAGTTCCTAACTTTTAGAAACTTTAATTTCTGAAACTATGTAATATGAACTGTCTATTATACCAGCATTCTTTAGATTGGCACATTTATGAATGTATTTCATATTTCCGAGAAGCATATGCTGTTTTCAGTGTAGCCTTAACACATCTGAACATCTTTTAATTTGCCTGTAATAAGAAGCCGAAGTAGATAAATCTATGGTTAATGTCCCAGTATTTTATCTTATTTGGAAATGATCTAGACAGTCAATGAATTTAAACTATCACTTAATTTAGCAGAACTTTAAGGTTTCAGGTCATGTAATGTTTTCTGAGTGGAAAAACAATCAGATAAGGGTTACTTGAATGAGGAAAGAAGCTGTCCATCTTATGGTTTTTGTTGTAGGTATACTGCATATCTTCAATTTCTTATTGGCTTTTTGCAACAAAACTTT